AGACCTTTGCTATCAGATACTCAAATCAAAAATCAAAATTTTCCCCAGCTATGTTACCCGGTTTTCTGGTGGACCCTCTTTCAAAGTACTTTAAAGTATCCTAAAGTACTTTGAAGTATTCTAAATCATTTTAAAGTATTCTATAGTATTTTAAAGTGTTTTAAAGTATTCTAAAGTATTGTAAAGTACTTTAAAATATTCTAAAGTATTTTAAGGTATTTTAAGATATTTTAAAGTATTCTACAGTACAATAAAATACATTAAAGTACCTAAAGTACAAAAGTATGATGTTGCCCCTTGTAAACAAGACGTTATATATTGAGCAATGGTGTGCTTCATATCTGGCCATCAAAACTTGTTTTTTAATTTTAAATATGTACGTTGTATACCAAAATGCCCTTTTGGAGGATCAGTATGATAGGCTTTAAGAAGAGAGGTAATCATTGATGATGGTAAACAAAGTAATTTAGTTTTTGTGGTATGACGAGGATGCATAGCCATTAATTTATATAATAAACTATCATGTAAAATATATGAATTATTGGTTGAATGTTACTCTATCTCTTTAACTTTACTTTATATAATTGTATGTTTACTTTGTTCAAATTTAATTTGCTCAATATCCAAATCATTACAAGTAAATTGACAGGAGGAAGATTGAAATAATTTACCACTAACTTGGCCTTTAGCTAAAGATGTTCTGTCGTTTGTATTATTTTTCAAAGGGTTAATGTATGACGATTGTTGTTGTAACATTTGTTGCTTTTTTGATCGTGTAACAAAAGCATTAACAAAAAGAGACTTATTATCAGGAACATACACCCAATTCAATGGTTCTCCTTCAAATAACATACTTATACCATAATCTTCATTAAATATTTCTCCACCATATTGAATAGGATGACGTGATAAATAATCAGCTAAGCAATTATTTTGACCTTTAATATGAATAACTTTTTCAATATTATATTCTTGTAATAATATGGATATACGATCTACTCGTCGATTCTTCACAGATAAGTTCATCATATTGCATAAAAGGACAATGCTCAGTATAAATTATAATGGATCTACCAAGGGTAGTTCCACCAGGAATCTCCCACGTTTACAGTGACCTTCAGCCGGCAAGCTGAAACTTTCAGCAATTGAAGATCTCAACACTCTAAGACCTTTGATGAAAAAATTTCACGGACTTTCATTCGGCATCATAGTTTTTTTTAAACCACAATATGTCATCTTTCGATCTATGAGAACTATACATAGCATTTTTCATCATTTTGTGAGATTGACTTTTTTTCGTAACTATAATCCATAATTGAAAATTTATATATATATATATGTATAGTACTAAGTTAGTAGTTTAGGTACATGACTATATCGGCTCATTTATATTACTGGTACATAAATTTACCTTATACGACATTATACAAAAAATGCAAAAAATGCTAAAATAGCCAATTTTGGGATATACCGTTATCCATCATAATATGATAATTATCTATTTATTTGAGTCATATTAAATACATATATCTAATGTCTATTTAAGAATACAAGTAACGCGACGCAAACGTCGCTGACCCTCCACTGAAAGAATGCGATGTTGTTGAGCGCATCGTATTCGTCCTAGGAACTATGAGACCTAGTATCGTCATATACACTTAAAGGAACAAAATTAAAGGAATAGTATATGGAGGGTGTGGGTTGAGAGAAAATGAACTCGTACCTACACCTCACACCCACACCCAGCCATACGACCTTCAACACTGTAATACGTTAATTGACTACGACTAATAACAGGTTAAATGTTATTTTTGGAAATTTTTTAAATAACAAAACTTACGCATGTGTATGAACAAAAAGTCTATCTAAATGATACTTTTTAAATTTTCTTAGACTAGCAACAAGTGTTTTTGGAGAAG